GACCTTGCATGTAAAGTCCCGGCTGCGTATACCAGCTAGTACACAATCTGGCTACGTTAGTGTGTTAGTGCATGCGCAATATCTTACCAGAGGAGTTATATTTTGTGATGAATATACATTTAAAATGGTTAGGGGGTATCTCAGCATAGATTTCCTTAATGAACATTTATCAGTAGATCTATGTTTATAATGAAGAGAGCGCCCTAGAAAGTAGGGTACAAAACACCTACTTTATGCCCTCACGTTCTTCCCTTTGCCTCCCCTGTCCCTCGCTCAGCCTCCTTCTTCTTCTACCGCCCCCAGCTATCTTCCCTGCCGTCTTACCTCAGTATCCCATCCCCTTTCTCCCCCTTCAAGCTATATTATAATGTTTGCTTCCGACGGCACTTCACTCCTAACACGGTGCGCGCGCATGCGCAATATCTCCCGAGAGAAATTATATTTTGCACAGATTATGCATTTAAAATGAAGAGGAGTTATCCTAGCATAGATTTATATGATAACATTCTATCAGTAGACATCTTTTAAGAAATAGGAGGAAGACCTTGCATGTAAGGTCCCCGCTGCGTATACCAGCCAGTACACAATCTGGCTACGTTAGTGTGTTAGCGCATGCTCAATATCTCACCAGAGGAGTTATATTTTGTGATGAATATGCATTTAAAATGGTTAGGGGGTATCTAAGCATAGATTTCCCTAATAAACTTTTATCAGTTGAAATGTGTTTATAATTAGGAGAGCGCCCTAGAATGTAGGGCACAAAACACCTACTTTATGCCCTCGCTTCCTTTCCCTTGCCTCCCCTGTCCCTCGCTCAGCCTCCTTCTTTTTCTACCACCCCCAGTTATCTTCCCTGTAGCCTTTCCCCAGTCTCCCATCCCTTCTCTCCCTCAGCAAGCTATATTATAAAGTTTTCTTCAGGCGGCACTGCACGCCTAACACGGCGCGCGCTCATGCGCAATATCTCTCGAGAGAAATCGTATTTTGCTGAGATTATGCATTTATAATGAAGAGTTATCCTAGCATAGATTTCTATGATAATATTCCATCAGTAGACATCATTTAATAAATGGGAGGAAGACCTTGCATGTAAGGTCCCCGCTGCGTATGCAGGCGACAGATATCCACATCCAAGTGTGGCATTAAGCCACCGGAAGCCTAGGGCCCCGCTGGTGCAATAATACACTGTGCAAATGATGCATCATACTTTTCTTTGATGGAGGCGGTATAGAGTGTATAGCTAGTACAACCAAGGTTTACCACATACTACTATATAGGAGGCCTTAGACCCCCTTCGTACACAATGCTATATATGTGGCCTTGGTGGCCCGTCAGCATACACTATACTACAATACTATAGAAATGGCATTTGGCCACCGTCATATACAATACTATATATGTGGCCTTGGTGGCCCGCCAGCATACACTATACTACAATACTATAGAAATGGCATTTGGCCACTTTCATATACAATACCGCTATATATGTGGCCTTGGTGGCCCGCCAGCATACACTATACTACAATACTATAGAAATGGCATTAGGCCACTTTCATATACAATACCGCTATATATGTGGCCTTGGTGGCCCGCCAGCATACACTATACTACAATACTAATAACGTATGTGCTACAGTCACTAAATTACTTACGAGAGTGCTGCGACTGGCGCTTGTCTTGTTTTTCCTATTTAATGCTAATATATAAGCTATGGGTAATACAATCGGCATATATACATGGTAACTTGTTTTAATTTAGCATTTCTAAAATACGTAAACAAAAGAACATCTATTTTCGGTCGCCGGAAGGTTATTGTCGGGCGCTGAGCCTGACGGGTGGCTCACAGGCCCCGGCGTACAGGACGAGAATGGCCTAAGCACAGCTTGGATGTGGATATGTGTGGCGTTGTGTGTGTGTGTTGTGTGTGTGTGTGTTGTGTGTGTGTGTGTGTGTGTGTGTGGCGTGGTGTGCTGCGTGTACGTGCGTGCGTGCGTGCGTGCGGTGCGTGGGCGTGCGTGCGTGCGTGGCGTGCCGTGCGTGGTGCGTGGGCGTGCCGTGCTGTGCGTGCGCTGGTGCGTGCCTGCGTGCGTGCGTGGCGGTGCCGTGGGCGTGCCGTTGCGTGCGTGCGTGCGTGTTGTCGTGCATTCGTGCGTGCCGCCGCGGCGCTGCGCGCGGCGTGTGTGTGTGTGTGTGTGTAGTGGGCGCGCGCGCGTCGTGTGGCCCAATTAAGGGCCGGACACACTAGAGGCGCATTAAATCGGGCGACTAAATCGGGCGACTAAACCGCCGTCATATCGCCTAGTGTGTCCACTCAAGATCTCGCCGCCGATTTAGTCAGCCGATTTAATTGCATAGATCCAAAACGTTTTGATATTTATCGGGCGCATTATTATTTCAAAGTCGAGCCGATAAATTTGCCTAAGTGTGTCGCGGGCCGCGATAAAAATCGCCGATTGTACCAATTCATTCGGTCAATCAGAGTTGTTCCCAATGATACTGACGGTAATAGCGATGTTTTCATGCTTTAGTATGTCATGTCATGCTAATAGCGATCACGCACGCACGACCAACGCACGCACGGCAGCGCACGCACGCATCGGCACGTGTACGTGCCACGGACGCGACGCACCACACTCATGCCGCACTGTTAGCCGTGCACACCGGGCACCACGCCACGATTGCACACACGTGTCGTGCACACGACACGCACGCACATCTACGTGCCTTACAAGCAGCACGCACCGCACGCACGCACGATGTACCTGGCACTCACACGCCGCACGTACGCACGCACGCAACATGCACACACGTGTAGCTGCTACACGCAGCACACGCACGCAGCGGCGCACATGTACCATGGTGTTGACCTGCACACGCACACACGGCACGCACGCACGCACGAACGTGTGACTGCAACACGCACAGCACGCACGGCACGCACGCACGAACGTGTGCCTGCACACGCACGCACGCACGCACGCACGTGTACGTACACACACACGGACGCACGCACGCATGCACGCACGTGTAAGTTCACACGCACGCACGTGTACGTACACACGCCCGCACGCACGTGTACTTGCACACACACGCACGCACGCACGCACGCACGCACGCACGCACGCACGCACGCGCGCACGTGTACGTACACACGCACGCAGGCACGCATGCACGTGTACTTGCACACGCACGCATGCACGCGCGCGCGCACGTGTACGTGCACACGCACACACGCACGCACACACGCACGTTTACATACACACGCACGAACGCATGAATGCACGCAGGTGTACGTGCACACGCACGCACGCACGCACACACGTCTACGTGCACATGCATGCACGACTAGGCGATTTCACCGGCTATTTAGTCGCCCGATTTAGTCGCCCGATTTAATCGCCTAGTGTGTCCATTCGACTCGCGCGATAAAATCGGGCTATATTATCGGGCAATAAAGTCGCCCGATTAAATCGCCTAGTGTGTCCGCCCTTATGAATCACAGTAAGTATAAATTTCTGTAGTAACAGCACTGATATATTATTATTACAGGGGCGTAGCCAGCCTTTCGAAGAGGGGGGATTCCTTCCAAGAGGGGGGAATTCCAAACCTACTATATACTAATAAAACTTCGTTAAAATTTTCGTTTCATGCTTGTATATACATACAGTATCAGATAATTATGTGCTATTTTGATACAAACCAGGGAGGATTCCTGAATGCCTGGAATCACCCTGGGCTACGCCCTTGTTATAGACAACTTTTTTATCAGTAAAAATCTAATAATGTAATTTACCTATGTATTCCTTGATTTTATAATATGTGTATCATAATTACCTAATAAAAATATCAAAATCGGATGTATAAAAATATATATTCAAAAATCATTTTAAAATTACGAATTGAACACGATTCACAACAGATGGCGCAGTGACTCAAAACAGGGCAATGTTTTGGCGGGAAATATCTTTGTAGAACATGTCGATTTCGTAGTCATTGGTTTTTACATACTGTGGTCACGATATTCTGGCAAAAATGCTTGGAACTACATGTGAGGGCAGTAACCAGCTCCTAACAAGGTAAATGAATTTAGGGAAGTCCACTGTAGAACAATATATTGACTTAGAGCTGCTGGCCGTACCTTTTTTTAGGAAAGCTTAAACCTACTAATCACTATTACTACTACTACTAGTTAGTAGTATTAGTATTACTGACACACTGAGACAGTCATCGTTTACATAAACTTGCTGGAGCTTTAGGCCCCCTACCTTGTTCAAGTTGTTGTTCCTGCCATCAGCACTTGTCACAAGGTGATCTCTGATCGAGGCTGTGGTGACAGTGAGTAGGCCTACTATAGTAATAATAGTATTACTATTACTATTACTAGTATTAGTATTAATTAGTAGAAAGACTCGAAGAGAGTGCAAAGCAGTGTACTGACTACGGTGTAATACTAATGCCGAGAGGGTCTATGTCCCCCGGGGTACTGCCGGAACGTACCCTGGGTACGGTCCGGTATACCGGAACGTACCCTGGTACTATCTAATATAGCTATATTATGACGTTTGCCTCAGACGGCACTGCACGCTTAACACGGTGCGCGCGCATGCGCAATATCACCGGAGAGAAATCGTATTTTGCAAAGTTTGTGCATTTAAAATGAAGAGGACTTATCCTAGCATAGATTTATATGATAACATTCCATTAGTAGACATCTTTTAAGAAACAGGAGGAAGACCTTGCATGTAAGATCCCCGCTGCGTGTACCATCCAGTACACAATCTTGCTACGTTAGTGTGTTAGCGCATGCGCAATATCTCACCAGAGGAGTTATATTTTGTGATGAATATGCATTTAAAAGGGTTAGGGGTTATCTAAGCATAGATTTCCCTAATAAACTTTTATCAGTTGATATGTGTTTATAATTAGGAGAGCGCCCTAGGATGTAGAGCACAAAACACCTACTTTATGCCCTCGCGTCCTTTCCCTTGCCTCCCCTGTTCCTCGCTCAGCCTCCTTCTTCTACCGCCCCCAGGTATCTTTCCTGCCGCCTTACCTCAGTCTCCCATCCCTTCTCCCCAGCAGCAAGCTATATTATGAAGTTTGCCTCAGACGGCACTGCACGCTTGACACGGTGCGCGCGCATGCGCAACATCACCGGAGAGAAATCGTATTTTGCAAAGATTATGCAATTAAAATGAAGAAGACTTATCCTAGCATAGATTTATATGATAACATTCCATCAGTAGACGTCTTTTAAGAAATGGGAGGAAGACCTTGCAAGTAAAGTCCCCGCTGCGTGTACCAGCCAGTCCACAATCTGGCTACGTTAGTGTGTTAGCGCATGCGCAATATCTCACCAGAAGAGTTATATTTTGTGATGAATATGCATTTAAAATGGTTAGGGGGTATCTATAAGCATAGATTTCCCTAATAAACTTTTATCAGTTGATATGTGTTTATAATTAGGAGAGCGCCCTAGGATGTAGGACACAAAACACCTACTTTATGCCCTCGCGTCCTTCCCCTTGCCTCCCCTGTCCCTCGCTCAGCCTCCTACTTCTTCTACTGCCCCCAGCTACCTTCCCTGCCGGATTTCCTCAGCTTCCCATCCCTTCTCTCCCTCAGCAAGCTATATTATGACGTTTGCCTCAGACGGCACTGCACGCTTAACATGGTGCGCGCGCATGCGCAATATCTCCCGAGAGAAATCGTATTTTGCAAAGATTATGCATTTAAAATGAAGAGGAGTTATCCTAGCATAGATTTATTTGATAACATTCCTTCAGTAGACATCATTTAAGAAATAAGAGGAAGACCTTGCATGTAAAGTCCCGGCTGCGTATACCAGCCAGTGCACAATCAGGCTACGTTAGTGTGTTAGCGCATGCGCAATATCTCCCGAGAGAAATCGTATTTTGCAAAGATTATGCATTTGAAATGAAGAGGAGTTATCCTAGCATAGATTTATTTGATAACATTCCTTCTGTAGACATCATTTAAGAAATCTAAGGAAAAGCTTGCATGTAAGGTCCCGACTGCGTATACCAGCCAGTACACAATCTAGCTACGTTAGTGTGTTAGCGCATGCGCAATATCTCACCAGAG